ACACAAATTTTTTTCGAAATTTAGCTTTGTACAAAGATCGATGGATCACTCACTAAAGGCCTAATAGAATTTAAAAACAGCTACTACACCAAAAAACTAGTTTAGGCCTTTATTAAAAACCAGAATTTTGAATAAATTCCCAACTTAAGAACTTTATCTATACAGGTTGTCCTAGACCACGCGTCATCCCCTTATAAAATGGGGAACAATTTTTTTATTGGGAAACGCAAGAATATGAACTACCAAGTTGGGATTTTCTACATGTACATGTTTTTATCACAGATGCGGATTCTGCGCACAAAAGTATATAACGTTTGTCGTAAACCTTTTCTGGAATAGACTTCCGGTGAAAAGAATCGACTTCCCGTCACTTTAACCCACTTCCGAACGAAACTGGATATCTCAAGGGAAATTAAAATAGAAATGCACATATAAGTGAAACATTCATCCGAAATACGAGTAGGCGAGCAAGGCAAGGCGAGGCAAGAAAAAATAATACAGTATTTCCCGGATATAAGCACCATAGAAAATGCATCAGATTCGGTGGTAAAAAGCGAGAGGTGCTGGAAGAAAATCTCGCTTGTAAGCACTGACTGTGCTTGTACTGAAATCTTCGGTTGTGTGCATCTAACTAAAATCACTACTCCTATTAAAATAATAAATGTGTGATTATAACAGGAACCGATTGATATTTCATTTATTAAAAATAAATATACACAAGTAAGAAAGTCTAAGTTCGGGCGGAGCCGAACATTAAATACCCGGCGCAAGTATTAAATATATGTTTTTCACCTTTCCGAAAGCTACCGCTAGATGGTAAACCGGGGTGTACCAATTTTGAGTAGCGTCCTTAAATTTCGAAATATTGCAGTTTCAAGCATTTCTGAAATTTACCGTTATATGAAAAGCGGCCGTAATTTTAGCCCGATTTCAATAATTTTTAACAATTGGCTTTTATGTGGCAAGCACAATAACCGTACCGAGTTTGGTACAAATTGGTAGAACGGTTACCGATGGTGGGCGGTGCCACGCCAATTTTCCAAAATTTTACCATAAAAATATTTCTTGGTAAAGAATTGTTGCAAGCATCAATTTTGAATAAATTAGCGTTAATAGTTACTGATTTATCCAAGATTTTGTATTTCTCTAAATTACCGTTATATGGGATGTGGGCGTGGTTATTGTCCGATTTTTTAAATTTTCGGCCATTTAGTATGCTGTATCGAGGCCAACAATTGTGCGCACATGTAACCATAAGTGGGCGTGGCTACGCCCATTTTCCAAAAATGTATAACACTCTTATTTTTCGTCTAAAAGTTATTGTAAATATCAATTTTGAGTGAATTATCTTCAGTAGTTACTAAAATATCGCAGTTTTCGTATTTCTGGAAATTACCGTTATATGGGAAGTGGGCGTGGTTACAGTCCGATTTCGCCCATTTTCAATACCAACCTACCTTGGATTAAGGGAAACCTACATACCAAATTTCGTTGAGATATCTCAATTTTTGCTCGAGTTATCGTGTACACGCACAGACGGACAGACGGACAGACGGACGGACAGACAGACATGGCTTAATCGATTTCTTTTTTCATCCTGATCATTTATGTATACATTTGTGTATATCTATCTCGATTCGTTTTGGCTGTTACAAACAACCGTTATGTAAACAAAATTAATATACCCTTGTGCACAAGTGCGCTCGGGTATAATAAGTGCAACAAAATTCAAATATCTGAAAAATAAGTTGTATTGGAACTATAGTTTATAGTGACCCGAAGTTTATAGTTATCGAAATTTATCGAGTTATTCATATTTATTGAATTATCGCAAAGTATTGAATTATTTAAATTGACAGACACGGAAAATTAGTTGCCGAAATTAACGGATGGTTAGAATCGAAAGAAATTTTTGTAATTTACAGAATATATCAAGTTATCGAGATTTCAAGGTTATATATGTTTATCGAGTTGTCACTGCCTATCGAATTTTATTGGGCTATGAAAATCAGCCGAGTTATCGAAGTTTCTAGAGGTATCCAACGTTTATTGAGTCATCGATTTATATCTAGATATATACGTTTTTGAGTTATCGAAATTTATCGAGCCCTCGAAACGCAGTTATCGAAATTACTCGAGTTACAGAGTTTTGTTCAGTTATCGAATTTTAGTGTTTTTAAAATTCATCAAATTATCGAAACTTATCGACAAACTGAAATGTATCGGGTAAATTCCAAGTCCTGCTAAAATCCTCCAAAGACCTTCAAAGACACAAAAACTTTTAGTCACGTTTTAATTGCAAAGCAGGAGATTTTCCGGTAAGTAATTTTGTACTTTATATGTTAAAGGACCTGCTAAAGTCAGAAACCCTCTCCAAGACTCTTAAAAAATTAGATAAACGGTCGAATTTTCCACACCCAATAAGTGAAAATAGTTCGAAATTTCATATTCATAGCATTATAAAACTACATCCGCTTACCAAATATCAGATTACTTCACGCAAACAGACAGACAAACATGGCTTAATCAACTCAGTTCGATGTTCTGATCATTTTGATTTATTAGAGCAATGAAGCCAAATCTAAAATTTTTAGAATTTTGGTCTGTCTCTCTGTACGCGCATCACTCGAAAACTGATGCAGGAATTGAATACAGTTTACACCGATTTATGCCTAGACGTCTAACTTAATTAAAATATAGAAGGTAAAAAAGAGAGTTGCCACCTGTACAAAAATTTCAGTTTCAGTAAATTGATAAGGTAAAGTTAATATTGCAATATAGATGTCAAAAGAAAGACGATTAAGATGCCTTACTCTCGAAAATACTTTTGTGGAAGGTAGCAGCCTGTTTGAAAATTTTAATTTAATTTAGTTGGCAAGATAATTAAAATATTTCAATATAGGTATCAAATCAAGGAGGTTTAGGAAAGTTTACGATCGACAATGTTTTCGAGTAGATTTGTCACTTGTTTGAAAATTTGTATTCCATTAAATTAATAAAATAAATGAAATATAAACATACGGGTATTAAACTAAAGAAGTTTAAGAAAGTTTACTGTTGAAAATATGTTTGAAAAGGGTTGCGACCTATTTGAAAAATTGAATTCAGTGAAAGGTAATGCAAGGTATATATATTTTGAATAAGTTCTACGTTGAAGAAAGTGCGCGATATATAGACTGGACAAATTAAATTCCCATGAGAAAAGGGAATAATTTACGTATTTTCTAAGTAGCTTCGAAAATATATTAACTAACTCCCATATTTATTTGGAAATCTCACTTCATACAGCTCTTTAAATCTCTATATTGTTTTATGAATGGGGCTATAACAGTTTTGGGTGGGAGTAACAACACAAAAATACTTTTAAGGCACAGTGGAGCACGCCGGGTATCTACTACTAATTTAATAAATACTTAATAAATAATAAAAATTTCAAATTTATAATTTAAATATCATTTCACTTTGCATAATATGAAATTAGACTTAACAATATCGTAAAATATAAATTCAGAGATTATGTAAACGGGAAAAAATTCAAATAAATACACTTATAATTCGAAAAAAAAACTATCGATAGTCTATCGTTGGGGGGTGTAAAAAACTGTCGATGGTGCCGACTTCAATAGTTTCTGACCCGTACCTCTACCTCCAACCGCTCAGCCACAGCGCCGTGTATTGTCTACAAATTCGTATGTCTCCTTGAAAATAAATATTTCTACCAAACATTTGCGCGCTAGGTGGCGCTGGGGTCAGAATATTCCTAAAAATTGCATTTACTTGCCGATTTGGCTCATACTTAGAACATATGTATATTAGCCTAATTGAAAATAAATATTGGGACTAAAAATTTACACGAAAGGTGGCATTGTGGACGATATATTCCTTAAATTCTTATACATTAGGTTAATGATGATATTACACTATTTGCAAATTTATGATGTACCTTTTTAAACATTTTTACTGACCAATTTTTATATTTCATTTAAGAATTGAGCTGAAATTTTAGAGTTATGTGAAAATTGTAAACAAATGTAGTAAATGTGGTAGACATCCAAATTATAAAAAAATATGTGATAGATCTACCACTATATGTGGTAGAGGTTTGCACACTGACCTATAAGAAATAAAGGGGTGGTTCCAATTTGTTCGCTAGTTACGAATACTTTTATGGGAGGGTGACTTTCCCCTCGCACAACAATATCTTTTCAAAATTATGAAGTATGACGAAGATATGGTCTATGGTGTAGACCTAAGGCTACCCTGATAAGGCTCAACTACTTCGTGGCATCAGCAGTTGACTTTAGACTTTATCGCAGTTCTCACGTCAGAGACCTTGTAATCAATACTTATTCGGAGCATCTCGCTTCAGTTGCCTCATATTGCCTTTCTTGTAGATTGTGCAAGCACATTTAGATTCGACCACATTCTTCTTATGCATAGACCTTATAAGCTCCTCGCAGCTGGCAGGCTTGAAGGATCGTATAATGTATCAAACTTACATACTAGATGTGTGCCCCGAATCCCAACAAAATTTGTGACAAATAAAAAGGGAATCGACTTAGATTGAATTATCTCCGTTGCCCATCCTAAGTTTTTAGCTATAGGTTACAGATGGTTAAGGTGGATTTAAAATCTATGCCACCTCCTTCTGTAGTATTAGGGATGGTAGTGGGGGGTTGGAATTCGATTTTTTCCGAATTTCGAACATTGCCCAAACATTCGATTATTCGATTCGAAATTTGGTGCTGCAAATTCGATTTAATTCGAACTTTTGCGAATTTTCCAAAAAAATTTTTGGAGTGAAACTTCTTAATCGAGCGCAATTTAAAAAAATGAGGTGTCAAATTAAAGGCTTGTCCTTTGAGTCTGCAACATAGTTTTAGTTCTATGAAAAGGGTTGTATATAAGAAAATCAAAATCAAATTATTAAATAAGTTGATTTTTTCCAGAAAAATTCGATTTTATTCGAATTTTAGCAACACATCGAATTTCGAATTTACCCATCCCTAGTACGTATGTATATTCTTTAGTCTCCATTCCCCATTTGTCTAACGCATGTGTTATAATATTATAATTACTGTATTTCATCCCCCTATCCATCTTACCAATTGCATATTCCATGTACGCGGACGATTTGATGCTCCAGCAGCCGCATGTTGCGGACTCGCCGCATCTAGTGCAGTCGAAGACAGATTCGTATCTACTTTGTACGAATTGACACTGGTTGGCGATGAGACCGTCACCTGTGCGCTGGTCTGCTTCGTCTGTTGCATGATCTTACTTATCAAATCCAATTGTTCACGAGTGAGACCTTCGCCAGCATCTACAAGACTTGTCTCAGTGAGGGCAATTGTTGGCGATGAGGCGGGTAAAGATACGCCGCCCATGGACGACGCAGACGACGTGGATGTTGGCGAGAGTAGCGTTACACCAGTTTTAATGGGTAAATTGATGGATTTTATTTGCTCTTCAGTAAGCGCCACACCAGTCGCAGCATCAACAATAGTACCACCTGAAGAGATGTAAGTGCGTATGCAAGTGGCACCGTCAGGGGAGCTGGCGTCTCCTGTAAAATGAAACGAAACAACACATACAAACACACACACAAATAAAGGATCAGCGCAATCAATTGTGTTCTTTGAGAGAAACAACGAGCTGCTCACCGCTTGCTGTTGCCGGCGAAAGGCTCAGTCCGGTCGGTGTACCAGAATTCGGTGAGAGTGTTTGATTTTGTGGAGTTATAATACCCGAATGATGATTCTCAGTGTGACGTCGCAATGAACGTGCGTCACAGTATGATTTACCACAGCCTTCGGCTTTGCATTCGTATGGCTTCTTATTGCGATGTGTCATCATATGGCCATTCCTGTGAACAAATATTAAGCGAAATATGGAATAAAATTACAAATATGCATGCATGTATGTGTTTTACTTATGTTATTATTCTTGTGTACGTAAGTGCACTCTGATTCACTTGAATATGCACATTTTTTTCGCGATGGTCCGAGATTTTATCTGGAATTGCGGGTATTTGAATACTTAACTGCCCTGAAATCCCGGAGGCAAGTTCTAGAGGCCAAGTGTAGTTGAAAACGAAAGAATTAATTCATATACATTTGACAATGAAAACGGACTTGAGTCATTTGCAATCGGATGTGAATTTCAGAACCTGATGAATGTACAGTACATTTTCCGCAAGAACTGTGTTAGAACCGAAAATCTGCAAATTGAATTTCTGCAAATATGAGTAAGTGTTTTTTTTTTACTATTAATATAGATATTTAAGAATACTATGAAAATATTCTAACATTAAACAACGAACTCTTTTACTAAGTTGCGGTTTCATTTTTCTTCATTGCTGAGAAAGGCGAACCTCCTGCAAAATGAAAAAAAATGTTGTAAAGTCAAAATCCCGGGATAAGAAATTTTTGCATCACGAAATCCCGGGATTGTTAAAATGCTTGAGGATTGAATGCCCTAGTAGGTACGACTTTTTGCTATAACTTATTGATCAAAATTTCTGTAGTGCACAACGTTTTTTTTCGAATTAAATGTCTCTAATTCACAATGGAAAACAAAAAATACAAATTTGACAGTTGAAAATCCAATTAATTTAAAAGTAATGCCAATTAACTTTTGTCGAAATGGTTTGAATTACAATTATTATTTTTTAACAGTAATAAATAGTGATGTTTTCTTTTCATTTCTGTTTTAGCATTAATACTTTTTCTAAAAGCTATTAACATATTTTTAAATATTGGGCATGTTTCAATCGTTTTTCTCTTGACACGCAACGGAGTTCGGCTGGAGTCTTCTCTGACATACAAAACAGAAACTTCTTCATTTTTTAATCTGAATCTTAAGATCATTTTTGAGTACGCAGTTTTATATCCCATACAATTTTAGTCAAATGAAGTGCAAGTTTCAAACGGCTAGAAAAGACCGTTGATTTTTGAGAATTTTTTTTGGTGGCGAATTTTTGTACTTTTTATACCCGAGCGTACTTGTGCACTAGGGTATATTAACTTTATTCGCAGAATGGATGTTTGTACCAGCCAAAACTAATCGGAACGGTGCAAGGTTCTGTCTACTCATAGAAACACAAAATAAAAGAAGTAAAGAAGTATAAGTTCGAGCGAAACCTAACTTTATATACCCGGCGCAGGTATCAAATATCGTCGTTTCAACTTTCCATGCACTACCTTTGCATGATAAGTAGGGATGTTTACCCGATTTCAAACGTTTCCGATAATATGCAGAGTTAGACTTATGTAATAATATAATTGAACCTAGTAAGTAAATTTGCTCCAGTAGTTACTGATTTATCTCAATTTTCGTGCTTCTGTAAATTACCGTTATATGGCAGATGGGCGTGGTTATAACCCGATTTCCAAGATTTTCAACAGATTTCTTAGCTAGACCCTACCCAAGCCTCGTACCGAGATTGGTAGGGATTGGTGAAGCGGCTACTGAGATACAGCATTTCAGCATAAGTGGCCACAGCCACGCCAATTTTCCAAAAATTTTATAACAATATTATTTTTTACCACAACTAATTTGAAACAATTTCCATCAAATATATGCTGAAATATGGCAGTTTTTGCATTTTTCGAAAATACCGTTATATGGGAAGTGGGAGTGGTTACAGACCGATACAAAATTTCGTGGAGATATCTCAATTTTTGCTCGAGTTATCGTATACACGGACAGACGGCCAGACAGACATGGCTTAATCGACTTCTCTTTTCATTCTGATCATTTATGCATACATTTGCCCATATCTATATCGATGCGTTTTGGCTGTTACAAACAACCATTATGCGAACAAAGTTAATATACCCTTGTGCACAAGTGCGCTCGGGTATAAAAATGAGAATTTTAGCTAATTTACTAGTTTAATATAATTAGAGCTGTTCCATTCCAGTTACTTCCCATCTAAAAAGAGTGCTTTTACAATTGTAACGGTTGTTTTATATTTAACAGAATGTAAAAATACAAGAGTTCAGTTTTCTCATGTTTTAAACATTTTTTTTTATTAAAATAACAAATATTCATTAGTTAAAAATTATAACATGAAAATGTAATTAAAAGTTGTTAATACTTGTAAATTTTGCAGGCTCGGCCATATGCGTACTGGAAAAATGTTTGACTTATTTTGTCAAATGCGCTGTCCTCCAATGCAACCTTTTTTGTAACCGCATCTGAATAAAAATAGCAATGTATTGGCGTCGTTTACATTTAGGCGGCATTTTCTAAGAAAAGAAAACTTGAGTAGCTTTAATAAATTATATAACTAAATGGANCACTCAATAATAGTTGAGTTTAATGAGCTGCTCTAGGTTACGCCAGGTTAAGTTATCTCACAAAATTGGGTTTCATGAGGAGTAACTTAGAGCTAGAAAACACACGCACACTCTTTACAATAGACGAATAAACCTGCGAGCAATCGACTGTTTTGAGAAATGCTGCC